GCCCTCTAGACCCAATCCCCTCACACCTTCTCTAAGCTATCTCTTCTACACTTCTACCAGCTCTCACACAGCTCTCACACATATGTTCTCATTCTGCTGGATCTGTCTGCTGCTTTTGACACTGTAAACCATCAGATCCTCCTGTACACCCTTTCTTCACTGGGCATCACAATAACTGCATTTCATTGGTTTGAATCCTATCTCACAGGTAGGTCTTTCAGGGTGGCCTGGTGAGGTATCCAAAGCAAATCAACTGGTCACAGGGGTTCCTCAGGGATCAGTTCTTGGACCCCCTCCTCTTCTCCATATACACTACATCACTGGGACCCACAGTATCACAGCACAGTATCTATTTTTATTCTTTCTTTATAATTTGTATTTTGATTGCACATTTGTAATTAGAATTAAAGCCATAGGCTATAAAGAAGCTTTTGATATTTGATGGTAAACAAGACGAAGAATGAAATTCAAACAAATTCAAAATGAACAGATCCTAAAAGAGTAGATTTAAACTCATTAATTGAATGAATTTTATTTTTCAATATAAATTATCAAAAAACGTATTATGTGGTACTTCAAGACACATATACTAATACTACTAATAATAAATGGCAACTACAGATATTTGCAGTTCATTTAAATACATGTTATTTACTGAATTAACTTTCATATTATGGACCATGGTGGGAGAACACTTAATTTCCCAGAATGCTTTAATTTATCTTTAAAGTTATCTGAAAACAAAGCAGTGGACGTTTTTGGTCCTGCATAGCAAAATTAAGTATTCAGCTAACTATTTTTTGTTAATTCTTTTTGCTAATATCAAAATGAAACTCAATAAAATACTTTTATTTTCATTCCAGTTTAACATTTTGTTGGCTGTGTAGCCAATTCAATTCAAATTTCACACTCATGAGCTTTTCATTTCTTAGGATAAGTTTACATGACATTGACTTAAAAAAAAATTCAAAGGAAAAACTTTTACTAAGTTTCGCATACAGACGACAACATTGTTAAAACATTCCCTGTTCACACGAATATGTGAAAACGACTAAAAATGCTGTATTATTCATGCCAGGCCAGTAGATGGCGATATCAGGCCCCCAGAACGCTGTTGATTCACAATATTTCGTAAATTAACGTCCAAAACACATAAGTTTTTTCAGTATTTAGTTGAAAACATCGTGTAAATGCCCCCTTTAAATTCTGAATTGAGCAACCTATAGTTTATCTGTGTGTATATGTGTGTTTGCATTCAGTTCAGATCAGAGAACAGTACTTTACTGGACATAAAAAGATGCAGAAACTGTTTTACACCGACAGACCATCACGTCGTTGTGTGGTCTCACCAGAAATGTGACAACAACAACAGCAAAGCTGCTCCTAGTACCTCGGGCTCCTTCAGCTCAGTAGTCATCGACTGCACTGACGCTTTGCTCTCCACGTTTTCTGACTGCTATAATGGGGCACGCTGCTTCCTCTGCCTGCTTCTGTGACAGTATAAAACAGGAGTCACTTCCCCTGAGACCAGGAAAGACTTTAACGAGAGTGTAAAAGTGATTGTGCGAGAGAGAGAGAGAGGCACTGTTCTGATATGGCTCCCATCTGAGGCGTCACAGATGTCAGAGGACTCTATCTACTTTTCTGCATACCAAAAAACAAGCACACACAGAGGATGGATTGAGAAAAAAATTGTGTATAAAAACAGCATTCATTAGTGCAAAAAAAGCTCAGATCAGAAACTCTGAGATTAATTAGTTTGGTTTATGTTCTGATTGCTGACATCTGGGGCCAGATTTACAAAACATTCTTAAAGTTGGGGATATTTTGTATTCCCCAAAACATTTGTTAAAAATATTTTACTATCTTAAGAAATCACTCCAGAAACTGTGATGTTTGACATTGTAGGTGCAGGTAGCCAGTCTTCTTCTTATTTAAAATTTTTTCCCAGATTTTTTCCCTAATAAGCCAAAGCTTTGATTTCTTGCACCAACAACCAAATTTAGCTGCAGTGTGTACATGGCCACAGTAAATTCACTAAAATTCGATAAAATGCATTCACTCTAGACAGAGCGCAAGAATAATGGTGTGTAAATTATTAAATATGATTGTTGATCAACAAGTGTTCAGCGAGAACCACCACACAATCTGATAACACCATTTTTTTTTAAGGAATTACAGACTTCTTTGGTTAGGTCCAGGGAGTTATAAAACTTATGAAATTACTCACAGCACCTTACCAAAATGACCTTTTACAAAAATGGCATTAGCAAAATGCTACATTGTTGTCTTCAGTCAAATTGTTTTCATGTAGCTTCACAGCAAAGCATGCTGAGGTAATCAAACACAATCTTCTAGAAAGTTAGAAAGCATCTGAATTGCTCACAGAACGTTTAACAAGCTACTCTTTCCCAACATAGCAACAGCAAAAGAGCTAAATTGTTGTCTTTGGTCAAATTGTTTTTGTGTAGCTTTACAGCTAGGCACACTAAAGTAATAAAAACATTATGCTAAAAAAGCTAGAAAGCCTCTGAAATTACGGACAGCACCTATGAGTCGCTTTTCCCAACAACTAACATTTGCAAAAGTGCTACATTGTTGTCTTTTGTCAAACTGTTTTAGTTAGCTTTACAGAAAAGTGCTGCAAATAATCAAACACAATCTCCAAGGAACTTGGAGAACATCTGAAATTGCTCACAGCTTAACAAGCTAGCTACTTTTTTTCAAGTACCGATAGCAAAAGTGCTACATTGTTGTCTCAGGAAAATGTTTATGTGCCTAGCTTTATAGCTAAGCGTGCTGAGGTAATAAACACATTTGCCTGCTAGATTGTCTCTCTTGGGATGTCAGCTGGCTAAACTAAGTTAGCTATTTTAAAAATGGTCTGCTGTGTGCCATTTACGGTTTCATCAAGTGAAGTATTTACATAAAATATTGCCCTTTTAACACCTTTTGTCATTAGCTTGTAGTGTAGCTATATCTACGGTTTTCAAAGAGTTGTTTACTTAAACTACTTACCTAAAATTAGCTTGTAGCTTCTCCAACACTGCTAACTGTGGATAATGCTAGCACAGAGATATTATTCACAAATTTAAAGCTAAATTGTTGTCTTTGGTCAACTTGTTTTTTTGTGTCTGTAGCTTTACAGCTAAGCATGCTGATGTGATAAACACATTATACTAAACGTTCTGAAATTTCTCTCAGCACCTTTAACTTTAACGTGCTGAGGTAATAAACATATAATCTTAGAATATCTTTCTTAGGATGTTGGCTGGCTAATCTAAAGAAATGGTCTGATGCATGCAATTTTACTGTTTCGTCAAGTGAAATATTAAAACATTTCCTCTTTAATAGCTACAATTTAGTTAGCAGTAGTTAGCATTTAGCAGTTAGCAACAGTTAGCAAGTTAAACTACCTAAAGTTAGCTTGTTGCCCAACAAAACTATTAGCAAAGCAGCTTCTCCAACAATGCTAGCTGTGGGTAATGCTAGCATAGAGATATTATTTGCAATTTTACCCACCTTGTCAGGGCTAATTCCATTCTCCTTTCTGTCTGACCTATACTCTGAGGCTTGTTTTGTTTGTTCAACATTCTCCGAGGCTTCATACTTGTTCCCATTAATAATTAATGTTGTGGAACCTGCTTGATCAACAAGTGTTCAGCGAGAACCACCACACAATCTGATAACACCATTTTTTTTTAAGGAATTAGACTTCTTTGGTTAGGTCCAGGGAGTTATAAAACTTATGAAATTACTCACAGCACCTTACCAAAATGACCTTTTACAAAAATGGCATTAGCAAAATGCTACATTGTTGTCTTCAGTCAAATTGTTTTCATGTAGCTTCACAGCAAAGCATGCTGAGGTAATCAAACACAATCTTCTAGAAAGTTAGAAAGCATCTGAATTGCTCACAGAACGTTTAACAAGCTACTCTTTCCCAACATAGCAACAGCAAAAGAGCTAAATTGTTGTCTTTGGTCAAATTGTTTTTGTGTAGCTTTACAGCTAGGCACACTAAAGTAATAAAAACATTATGCTAAAAAAGCTAGAAAGCCTCTGAAATTACGGACAGCACCTATAATGAGTCGCTTTTCCCAACAACTAACATTTGCAAAAGCGCTACATTGTTGTCTTTTGTCAAACTGTTTTAGTTAGCTTTACAGAAAAGTGCTGCAAATAATCAAACACAATCTCCAAGGAACTTGGAGAACATCTGAAATTGCTCACAGCACCTTTAACAAGCTACTTTTTTTCAAGTACCGATAGCAAAAGTGCTACATTGTTGTCTCAGGAAAATGTTTATGTGCCTAGCTTTATAGCTAAGCGTGCTGAGGTAATAAACACATTTGCCTGCTAGATTGTCTCTCTTGGGATGTCAGCTGGCTAAACTAAGTTAGCTATTTTAAAAATGGTCTGCTGTGTGCCATTTACGGTTTCATCAAGTGAAGTATTT